TTATCTATTCTACGCATTTAGTAAGAGGAATAGAGAACAGAAAAAAAACACAGAGAAGGACACGAAGGACCGCAGAAGTAAACAGATATCGATGAAAAGAAAAGAAAAGACAGAACGAACGAATAAATAAAATAAAAAAAATATTAAAGAATATTTAATAGAAAATTGTAAGAATAATGATAAAGTTTTGATCGCAACATCAGGTTGTGTTCCCAGACGCACTGGAAGTGCATAAATATGAGAATAATTCTAGAATTAAAACCGATTTTAATGTATTTTATTCCGAACACAAGAATGACTCATAAAATGTCTAAATAATAATTCCTTCTATTCAATCTATCAAAATAATATAGTCTCGCATCGATAAATTTTTATACTTACAACTATATGAAGACATTTAAAATAGATCAACATATAAGATGTCGCTGCTTCCATAAATAGCTCTCGAAAGTTTACTTAAGATGATATTGTACTAAAAGACCTATCATCTATAAAAATTCGTTATCTCCTTATGTGTTAATTATAGTAGATACAATATTCCAACAAGCATTTTAATCATAAAACCTATTGTTTTTGAAATTATTTTCAATCTTATAGAAGAATGTTTTTTTAAGAACTTTTTATCATAGAAAACTGTAAAACTTAATTTGTATAATACTGGAATTGTTTATCATGTCAGTTAATTCAATTAGCTATATCAGGAATTATTTGAAGAAAAGTGTGAGTAGTCCATAATTAATCAGAACTGAATTATCCAAATTCATTAATTTTGGCACTATTACCTATTTTTAAACAATGACTACTTTAAATAAACTAAACTGATTGTTAAAAAATAGAAATTCAATCTTTAAGCAAATATTGAAACCAACATATTGTTTTGAATAATATAAAGTGTACATGTCGTATGAAGTTAGAATTGAAAAGAAAACACTGACTTATGTTTATTTATATTCCTTGAATAAATATATTTTCTTAAATACATTATTATTTTAGACTAAAAAACGTAATTCTATGCGTTTCTTATATCACATATACTGATATCACTGATAAATTTATATATATTATCAACGACATTATCAAGCAAGTTATTTTTACATACATATAGATAATAACTTATTTTTTTAACAATAACAAGCAAATAAAAATCAGGAGGTTTTTAAATCTGTGTCTATTTTCGTATATCATGTGATGTAACTGATATTGCAGGTAGTCATAAATAAAAAGTACGCCAAACGAAATGATATAATGTATGTGACTTTCAAATACTGAATTTAGAAAAGAAATGAAAATATTGAAATACGATACTTCCTATTTATAGCTGTGTATATAGATGGATTGCATGTTTTGATATTTAAGTGATGTATTGTAAAACTCTCGAAATGAGTTAAATATATAAGCATCCTCCAAGTAAATTATCAAACATGAAAATTATTCTCAATAGATTTAATCAGTATTCCTTTGTTAACAAGATTATAATGCTATATCAGGGAATGAATAGTTTTCGCCGGTTACTGCATCATAAACAAGTTGCGATGAAATATTGAGAATTATCTTCATTTTAGTCAATGATAAGAACAAAGATTGAACGAAACGTCGCATTACATAAGTAGTAATCATCGATTCATCTATAAGCTAGTTCATAACTTTTTATTTGAACAAATTGTGAATATATTAACGATGAAAAACTTCTAACACATCGAAAAGGAAGATAATATATAAATTAATCAAGAACAAAATGTATGAATTATGAATAATGTATTTGAATGAGACCATCAATCATGAGTGATATTGATATATTAACAAGTCTCTCACTAACATGAACAAATCAACCTGCAATTTCGATAGAACTTGCCATTGTTAAGTGCTTCAATCTTCCATTTTTATGTTGTGTAAAGATCATTAATTAAATTAAAATATCTAATGACTCTCAGATATTTCTTATTTTTTTGTATTTAATAAAAATCTCCTATTGAATGCATACTTCTGTTATCTCTTATTTCTTTTTGTGATATTAATTACATTCTTTGTTGCATATGGCATATAGTACATGTTATTTTTTTTTCGAGAAGACAAAAAAATAGTTATCATTATAAGAAAGAAAAATGAATAATATGATATAAAAAAAGAAGAGAGAGAGAGAGAGAAGAAAATCCACACACACAGAGACAAAAAACGTATTTATCTGTATAGTGTTCATCATTAATTAGTACAGATAAACATAAAGAGTAAACGAGTGCTATCGTCGAATAAAAACCACAGTTAAAAGACCTACAAAAAAAAAGAATAAAGTATTTTATTAGAAATCAAGAGACAAAAGGATATTTACCAAGTATATAACTAGCAATCACTTTTGAATTAGTTGTCATATGTAAATAAGATGGTATACGTGTATTGAAATTATTTTCATTATCAGGTATTGCTGGTGCTAGAAGAATAAGTGCACAAATAGCACTAAGTACAGTTAGAAGAAAAATAACTAATGGATCACCTAGAAAATGAAGATTAGAAAATTTTTTAGTGAAAATTATTTGATCATTTACGTGTTTCTTGTTGTGTAGTAACAATAGAATTTGTTGCTGTTGTCGTTGCTGCTGTTGTATTCATTTTATTTCTATTTGATGTACTATTTGTATTTGGTTCTTCATCAAAATTTTGTTCTAATGGTTTATAAGATAGAATTGAACAAGTTACATCTCGTTTACCTATAAATAGAATAAAGAATTTGTTTATATTTATTTATCTATTTATTTTTACCAATAAGATCTTGAGATTTTCGACGATCAAAGAATTGTATACGTATTTTATGTACAACATTCTGATTTGTTGATGATGATGATGTATCAAGAAGACGTATGACACTAATAAAATAAATACATTTATTTATAAAACAAAATATAGGTTAAATCTTCTTACGTATCTACAGAGTGTTGTGCACGAATTTCGCCTTGTGGTTCGGCAATTGAATATTTTCTTGGAGCTGTGCATAACACTAATAACAATATTTGATAAATAAATAAATCAGAAAACGAAAAACAAATTTACCCTTATAACGAACAGCAAAGTCGTATGGATTATAAAGTGTTA